CGAAAAACACTTCAGCAGCAATCTCAACTAGGTCCGCTCCGTGTTCAACTTGCTGAGACGAATCGGAAACAGTTGCATTTTTGTACGTAATCTTGAAAATGGAGCCCAGCACCGTTCAAAACGACTTGTTACATACCGGCGTGGAATGAGGATTCTCTCGGAGACAGACACCCCCAAAAAAACATTAAATCAATTATGTTAATTTTTCTTGTGTGCAGATGTGTTTACAATCCAAACTGAACCAGAGAATTCTACTGAATGGCTATGTATTCCGCACAGCGGAATAGTTCTGTTGCGCCGTTGCTAACTGCAATTCTGAATACGTTGCGTTCGGAAAATCAGTTAACCTGCGTGGTTGAATAAGCGACAAAACATTCACCAATCAGTCGACAGTCCGGTGAAAACACAGACATGGCCGCGAGGACTGTGTCAACCGCCTCGGCCAGCTGGCCTACATTCTGAGCTGTCCCATTGGAGCTATACTGGGCACGCGAGAGCTCAGTGATTAATACTTGGCACGCCGCCGTCCACAACGTCTGGGGTAAATTCTGATTATTCCGCGTGAACCTCAAGCAGAGCAGACACACCCCCGTAATCGCGTCAATGTACCGAAGCTCGCGTACGTCGGTTTGGCGTAGGAGCGCGACAACCGCCATCGCCGCAGTCCCGGCGCGCGCTCGGGACACGGCGGACTTGAGGCAGAAAGGATTGTGCAGCTGGATCGTCGCGACGTGCGTGAGCGTGTGTATCACGAGCGAAATTTGCGATTGCGCGCCATGCGAGGGCAGTATCTGTTTAAAGGCCTCGATCACAGCGTCTAGTTTCCCAAATTCCTCTGACAAGGAGGCGTGGTTCCGACCTGCGCGACCCATCAGTACAATAAAACAGGAATAAAATTACCGGCTTACTCTCGGTGTATCGCGCCGCTAGCCGCGAGGCCTGCTCGAAGATAACGGCAGCTTTTGCATGGAGCGCCGGAAGGGAGGTTCCACGGTCCGGGAAGTTGGCCAAGAAATTGTCGATCGTTGCGCTGCTCTGGAATGGCAGCAGCCGCGAGTCCTGCGATGCTTAGTCCGAACTTCCCCCAGGAGACAAATAAAAACATACCTCTGAATACGCCGCGATATCCAGCGGCCACGGTGTATCGATGCCATGTGCCGTATACGACACATCCGAGGGCGAGCCGTCCGCCGCAAACCAGCAATTATTCAACGTCAGCACGGCCCAGAACGCGTTGATACGCTCGCCCTCCTCCAGCGCGCTCGCCGCGGGGGACAGCGAGTCTACTGTCGACTTGGCAGAGTCGCGCACGTCGGCGGAGCGAATTTTGTGCAGCCCAGAACTCAGCGAGATGGACACCGCCGCACTGGCATGGTACTTGCCCTCGAGGATGCGCGCGTTGCGGAAGAAATACTGCGCGAGGAGGATCTCGGCTTGGATGGTGTGCAGGATCGCGGTGGCGGAGTGCGCGCTCGAGAGGCTCGCGGCGGTGCTGCGCAGCGCGTCGGACAGAAAATTGGATTCGTGGGCAGAGAGATTTTCGGAGCGGGAGAGATGCGATCCCCATAGACATACGGCGTCCAGTAGCGCAGGGGATGCAATTTGGCTTGGGGCCGCTCCGCTAGAAAGAGCTTCGAAAAGCTGTGGGCTTAAGAAAAAACCAATTTGCGAAGCATGCCGCATGAAACTATTTATCCTATTGATTTTATCAGTGTGTTACTTAGCATCTAGCTCAGCAACTTACAGAGCCTGAAACAGACCCATGGAACGAGGCTGTTGTTGAAAGGTAAAGTTGAGATTACCGCAATTAAAGAAAAAACCTACTCCGGGCGTCAAATTGGGTGTATCTAAACAGAAAATTCAGTTAAATGAACAGCTCTGAAATAAAAGGCAACTTACTGCGATTTGCAGACGTGCTTTGACTTGATGGAAAGGCGTCGAATTGCGAATTCGACGAGCTACGATGGTGACCAGGTTGGTATGGGTTGTGCAGTCCGACTGACGTCCGCATCTCCCTTGGCTGCTCTAGCTCCTGGATCCTGGTCTCAAGAATAGATATTTGTTCTGGAAAAGCGGTTAATATGTTTAGATGACAGATTTATATCATCCGTACCTTCGAGAACCTGTGATTGCGCCAGGCCCACTTCCGTGTATTCACAATCATGGAGGCCTCCACCGACGAAGCTTACACAGGGAGTGCAGATGGGTTTCTTCGCGTCGCATTTCTGTTTTAAAACTAGTTATTTCTTTCAATCCTGCGGGCGCTCCAGCGCCGACTTACCACTTTACGGCGTCTGCGAATATAAATAAATGAATTAAAGAGACGTAATCCAACCAAACTGCCGGGACAAACCTGCAGTTGAAACATGCCTTGCCTTTGTTCAGCTGGTGCTTGTGGAAGGATCTGTCTTGGTCCATGTCAGTGGGGTTGTGATGTGCTGAGCAGCCCGACAGATGCGCCGACCTTATATACGCGGACCCGCGTGACGACGCTGAGCAAGAGGATAAACTCGCCTTCCCACTTCAGGTTTCTGTTCACTTGTCGTAGCGTCGGCTCTGACTAACATTTGAAAATTGATTGCAAACAGGTTCAAAACTGGAAACGGAAGTCCCAGGGGTTTTTCTCGCCGTTTAGTCCGTTTCTACTGCCAACGGGCCTCATTTCCGCAGGAACACGGTGCGGCTCGGTGTTCGAGGTCATGCATACAGTCGCTTCCAGGCCGAAGTGCGACGAGAACGAGGACGCCGGATTGTGGGCATCCGGCAGGAGCAGAGATTGAGTGCTTGAGCCATCAGTTACCGACATCAGATGTGCACGGGATTCGCGCCTTTCTTTGAAAGCACTCATCCTTGTTTCTTCATTCGGCGATTTTGCTACCACAACCCGGCTATATTCTGCCCCAAAACTCCGTGGTCGTCGAAGGTTTTGTCCCCATCGGTATTGTTGAGTCGCCGTCGTCACTCGTAAGCGCATTTCCAAGACGATCAGGTTTTAGGCGCTCAACTTCGAGGCGCCACTGGACACTATCGCGGTTGGGAGGGCGTAGTTCCAAGATGAAGAGGAAGTGACAACGATACGATACGATGCGTTGCGGATCCTCCGATTGAGGTACGCAGAAAATCTTCATTCCTCTCCGCTTGCCTCTCCGTAAGAAATATCTGTAGGAGGCAGCAAATTTGACCTATTCGCAGCGGATGCTGTCGACAACTCTCCGAGTTTCTAGTTATTACTCAAGGGACAGAACAGGACGTGGAATAGCTCTTCGAGTTCCGGGCCGGCAACCACGGACATGGTTTGCCATGTCTCGGACTAAACCAAGTACTGGAGTTTCATGGATATTTAGACCCACCTACAACTACAGCTTCCCTGGAGGTGCATTTAGCACGTCAGTGGCGGCCCGGATCCGCTCTACGAGCCGACGCCAGAGCGGGGTCGCATTGGCTGCCCGTAGCCCGCTCGTCGACAGTGATTGCAACACGCACATCGACAGCGATTGCGACAAGTCATCAACGCGCCATGTACGTCGGGTCTGCATTATCCGTGCCCTTTCCTCGTCCCGGTATTCAACGCCAATGCCGTTTATCTCATTGGGATTGCAGATTTGACTGACGACCTTATCATCTATGAGATGGGTTCTCTCCCCGTCGGTGTTTCTTTACATGAACCGATGGCACCCAAGGACCCCACCTGCCGCAGCTCATCACGGTGTCGCTACTAACAACGCCCTAGTAATCGGAAGTTGAATCTGCGGCCACATACAGGCGCCCAAAACTACATACCCACTCGTGCCCGCGCTGAGAGACAGCCCTCCCTCCCTACCTATTCACCTCTCGACTCAACCCGACTTGAGCTATCCGGTGCAACCTGGAGAACATGACAACAGCATTGATGACGTCGCCGAAGCCCGGGAATGCTGCATCCTCGGCGATTTCCACTGTTGTCACCAGTCTATCTTTATACGTGGCACGGACTCGTTCAACGCGTCACCGGCATCCGAATCTCCTCGATATTTTTCCGGTCAACTTTTACACGCCGCGCGGCAACGCAGATCTGTAGCACTCACAAACTTCGGTGCATTGCGCCGATGCAGGTACCGTTCTCAGCCTTGCTCGCACGTCGACCGGCAAACCCGCCGTTGTTCAACCCAGAAGCGATCAGCTTTGCCTCGCGCACCACGACACTCAATCCCACCGCGATCATCATGATCGCTTGTCCATAAAATTTAGCAAATTCTTCTTCCCGAAGGTGACCACCAACCGCTCCCCCGTATTCACGGATGTACACCTCGACCTACAGTGAATAACACCGTCTACAATACAACGACGATAATGATGCATTTATGTGCGTCTCCCCTCAGTCTATTCAATTCTACCCAACACCGATACTCTTCCAGGATGACTGCTCTTTCACAGTGTTCGAGAACTGCAATACTGACCACCAGGCCGTAAACAACGAATTCCAACTGTTCAAAGCACTAGTACTCTGAATAAATCCCAACCGTAACTGTACAGCTTGAATTTATCAAATCGCTGCATATACGACACCGGTGTAGAGGTGCAACGATCCTCGATCTTACCATCTCCGTCAAAGTGACGGAAATCCTTGACTCGTCAACTTCACGACAACGACCGCAACAGGTCGTCCCGATTGTTGGATAGGATGATGATCCCAGCTTGATCCCAACCGTCGTGGAAAGATAAGGCTCGGTGAAAGGTGGATCGACCGCTGAGGAGTTGCACGTTGTTGTTCGCTCCAGAAGCGGAACCTTGTTTGTCCTGCGACGGCCTGGTAGCCCCTCGCTAGTATCAATACACGTCTGAACTTGAATCAAGTCGATATTCCAAATTAAAACTTTACTTACGCATGACGACAAGCTTCCTCACAGTTGAGGCCCAAGTATCGATGTTGCCGAACTCTGTTTGCGAGACGAATTACTTGTAAGTATCCAGCAAAGCAAAAGCAACCAAATCGAAATCAAGATCGAAAACGCAAAAAGAAACTCTCGACCTGGGAGTCGAACCCAGCTTTCGCGCGAACCCGTCATATGGATTTCTTTGGGATGACAAGCGCGTGTACTAACCGATATACTAGTCAAGAGATGTTAGTGCCTCCCTTACACGGCATATGATCACTTGCAACCTCACCGTGTTTACATTTTCACCTCAGCGACAGAATGAAGTTTGACCTCGAAATTGAATGTGAGTTTGCGTCTGGCTCGCGAGCCAGTAAAATACGGGGCCAGGTCAGACGGGAGGGAGGGCAGCGTACCCTGGCTGATTCATAAGTCGGAGCGGGCCAGCAGTTTAAATGCAATGATTCCTAAATGCGTGCCAACCAGTTCAACCAAATATTTTCGTTTCGTCCGAGTCAGCGTATGTAGGCCCTAGGGAAATACTACCTGTGAGCTGGCGTACGAGAATGGATACAATTCCAGGCCTTCTCGAATAATCTTAAATGGAAAGCGAGGCACTTGTCGATCGCCGAAAGCCTTCGCAGAGCAACGCTGAGCTACGACCTTGGACTCCCATTTATTCAAAAGACGAAGGACAGTGAAGGTACGAACCTGACACGAGTCAAGAAAAATCCCGCGTCTCGAGAACGAACTGAACGCCATGAAGAGTAAGCAAGACTCTGGGATAAAGAGTCAACCCAGATCGACTCCACAACGTTAAACGTTAAACCGTCGCCCAGAACCAGATATCCGACAGTACAGAATAGCATGCCAATGGCAAGTCGACGTCGCATGTTGTGGTGTTTTGGGATGGAAAGCAAATTCCGAGCAGGCTTTCAGCAAGTGGGGCCTTGACCGTTGGATTGCCCAGAAGGCTCGATGCAGGAAGATACTGCCATGTAGCCCGAATCGAATCGTTGGTTCACGATGTGGGGCAGTGTGGGGCAGCCCTCAGGGCTTTCTTACGACCCAAGGAGATCAAACAGCCGACGAAGCGTTCGCTTGAAGAGAAAAAAGAGACGATGCCTGGAACCGTAAATAACGCCATGGATATTGGCAGCTCCAATGAGCTCATTACTTAGAAAGACTGCGCAGCTGAGACTAGCTGTTTATGTCGTAGAGGAGGGAAGGAGACGTGCCTTGGCGCCTGTAGCGGCCCAAACGGGAATGTCAGCGGTTTGTCAGCATTGACCTCGTTTCATCAGCACTTTTCGCCCCGTCCTTTTTTTGTAAGTCTGGCTTGGGCCTCTGCTTGCTCTCTTGTCTTTTCTGCTCTGCCATCTCGCTCTTGTACTTTCTCGCTTTTCTGACCTTTTTCTGCTCTTTTCCTCGCTGCAGAACACCTGCGATGCCGACTGCAGACCGAAGCGACTCGCCCGATGATCGAGAGAAGGACGACGGCAGAGGGGGGAACAAGAAATCGGCGGCGTCAAAGGGTGCGTTGCCGCGTCGTCTCTCCCTTTTTTTCTTACCCGTCAACAGCAAAAGACCTATCCCATGTGCCGTGCAAATTCTACAAGGTCGGATCCTGCACCGCGGGCTCCTCCTGTCCCTTCTCCCACAGCCTCGTCGAGCCCGGAGGCCAAAAGGACGTCTGTGCGTGGTTTGTAAAAGGCAACTGCAAGTTTGGCCACAAGTGCGCTCTTGCCCACGTCCTGCCTGGCCAAACGATGGCCATGGACCGCAAGAACAAAAAAGCTGCCCAGATTGCCGCCGGGGGTGCCAAGAACAGCGACGGCAAGGGCCGCGGGGGCAGACGCGATAACAACAACTCGCGCAATCCGCTGCTCGCAGGCGGGTCGACTGCGCCCACACGCGCCAGGCCACCAATGAATATGCCGCTCAAGGCCACCATCTCCCCCTCTGCCCCCGCACCCCCGCTCAAAGACACAGACTTTGCGTCCTTTGGTGCCCTCGACGAGACCACCCAGCTCCCGACGGCGCCTGCCCGCAACAAGTCCCCGTCTCCGAAGCCGGCATCCCCGACTCTGCCAGTTTCTGCGCCGCGCCGTCCGAGCATGAGTAGCACGTCCCCCAGCAAGGACTTTGGCCCGATTGGCTCGCCACCGTCGTCCACCACCTCCCGCACCCCGCCCACCCAGAACGGCTTCCTCTCCACGTCGCCCTTCTCCGCGCCCGGCACCCAGTCCGTGTTCCTGGGGTACAACGACAGCGGCCGCAAGGGCATGGCTGCTAGTCTGGGCAGCGGGATGGCGATGGGCGGTGGCCCTGGCGGCTGGAATGCGAACGGCACGTCGTCGTCGCCGTTGCGCGCGTCGCTCCTCTCTGCGAGCAGAAGGAACGGCGAGTACGAGGGCCGGCGGAGGGAGACGGCGCTGGAGGATTCCACTGAGGACCTCGAGGACTTCCTTCCAAGCTCGCTCACGGACCTTTTGACGCCGGAGGAGCGAAGCAGGCGGATGTCCCGCACGAATTCGGGGCAGTCACCTGGCTTCGAAGGCTCATCGCCGCATCGACATGCCTTGGGTGTACCGCTGGGGCATAATGCCGGCCAGGGCGGACACCGCTATTCCCGCTCCGTTCCAGCACCTTCTTTACTAGGCGGCGACCTCAAATCCATCTGGGCTGCCCAGGGCGGCACGGGCGCACCGCCTGCCAACCCCCCGGGGTTGCCTGCATCTCCCATGGGCCACGGGCACGGCATGCCCAGCTCGTACTCCTCCGCGTCCGGCTTCGGCGGTCGTGACTTTAACGGCGGCGCCGCGTCCCCATCCTCCTTCGTCGACGACGGCGGCCTGCGCGGACCCATGCCCTCGCTCTCTCCAAGCAACGCGAGCGCGGCGTTCCTCCCCGGCATGCACCATTACATGAACAAGCAGGGGCAGCGCACGACGAGCAACCACGCGAACACCGCAAATGCACACCTCAACGGCATGAGCACCAACAACCAGTTCTCGTCCAACGCCTCGCATGGGCACCCACAAGGCCCGCCCGGCATCGCGCACTACCTGCAATCCGGCCCGGGGGGCCACCACGGCGCGCCCAGCGCCTCGGGCAGGGGCTCGCCGTACGTCCTCCCGAACCCGTTCGACCTCACGCAGCAGCAGCAGCAGCACCAGCCGCTACACGCGCAAGGCAACAACAACGCGGGTCTACCCGGCGCGCCCATGGGCGACAGCGCGCTCTCCCCGAACGCGCGCGCGCTGCAGGCGCATGCGCCAGGTCAGAGTCTGCCGCAGGGCCTCGCGGCGGGATACTCGCGCATCCACGCGCTGCCGCCCGTCGCGGGCTCGCCGTCGCCCGCTGCATTCGTCGGGGGCACGAGCCCAGGCTTTGGGAGCCGCGACTGGTCGACGATGAGCGCGGGGAGCGTTGGCGGGAGTCCCGGGGGCTTGTTTAGCTTGATGAGCAGCACGCGGCCTGCTGCTGCTGGGCCGCCGCAGAAGACTGCTGCTGCGTCGCCGCCGCCTGCGGGGGGGCTCGAGATGTTCTCGCACCTGTCGTATTCGGCGGCGGCAGCGCGTGGGGGGCCGGGGGTGGCTGCGCCGGCGCCGATGCAGCGGAATGTTAGCGGTGGGGCGAGGCAGCAGGGGCAGGGGCAGGGTGCTGGGCCGGGGGCGCCGCTCAGCCCGCTCAGTCGGCCTGTTGTTACGGGCGACGACGATTTGTTCCCGCTCGACGAGTAGTTCGTTGTTCGTCTTGCTCGAGACGTGGAGTGGCTGGAGCAGCGCTGGGTGCCGGGTGCGCCAGTGGGCGAGTCCACCCGCCCGCCCGCTGCAGGCGGACGGAGACGGACGCTCTCTACTTATCTATATAATTAATTTTCTCTCTCTCCATCTCTCCCTCCATCTCACTCTACTCTCCTGCTCTTGATTTCTCTTTCCTTGTTTTCTGTGACGACCCGACTGCGCTCATGTTTCATGATCCTTGGTGCCTAGCCTTGCCTCTATACATCTACCCACATATCTACTTATGTTGTGCCAAACAAAGTGTTACATAGCTGCCTGTTTTACCTACATAGCTGTTTTACTTACATATCACACCTCTCTTCCTCTCCGACATCTCCTCCTACATATCACACCTCTCCGCCTTAGCTCTCCTCACCCTCTCATCTCCTCCGTCTTATTCATACTCACTCACATCTCTCCTCGCTGTCGCGCATGGCTGCAAAAAGCAGGTCGTCGTATAGTATTACTAGTGCCACCATTGACAATCCAAATCCAAAATCTATTCCCTCCTACTGGCGCTGCTTCCCGTCGCCGTTGCTGCGTCTCCATCTGACTCGCCGCCTCTCTCCCCTCCGCCGCCTCGTAAAATTATTTGTACGGTATACCTTGCCCCATCGACGTCGCCGCCTGCCTATTCCCTCTGTCCCTTGCTGTGGGCCTGTGCGTTCATTGCCGTTAGCCAGTACCTCCTATATAGGTTTCTTACATATATCAAGTATCTACCCGCATTGTGATTAATACCTTGAAGATGCCGAAATCGAATTTTCGAATTCGGATAACTTGAACTTTGAAGGCTGCTTGATATTTGCTTGCTATAAACGGTGTCGCATAGGCATTCTGACCTCAATAAATATGCGGCATCGTTTATTCGCGTCGTGAAGGTCTCCGCCTCCAAGTAATACATGTGGGTACATACCACGCCTTAGGGCCTCCCGCCAAACAAAAATGACCATGACTGCCGGCAACAAAAAAAATCATTGCTTTCAATGCTACTCTACCCTCTTACCCAGTCCTAAAATTCACAAGACACCTGGACCCCCATCATTCAGTGAAGGCATCCACGACCGAAGTCGCTTCGGAACCGCATGATTGCTACATACATCGACGCTTCTAAAGTCCCCAATCTTCCTGTGAGTAAGACGGGAGAGAAGGCCCTTAGTCGTCTCGGGATGCGTCAACCTCGTCGATTAATTCATTGAACAAAAGTGGGAAACTCCGAATTTCCATCTGCATTAGAATAGATATGCAAACTGTTGCCCCCAGAAACCGATGGTAGAGATTTTTTCAGAACCTCGATATCGTTGGAGTCCAGGCGGTCCGTTTCGGGGTCGAAACAGGCATATATATTAATCTCAACGCCGGGCAGTTGCCTCAAGATTGCGTCAAGCGCGGCCCACTCAGGCTGTTCGTAATCCACGAATTCCGTGTCCAGGTATTCGACAAGGGTGATGCTGATG